TGATAGAGAAGGATCACTCAAATCAGAAAGAATGTGAAGGCTATGACAATCATGTCAATGGACATGAGCGGGAAGTTATTCGGAATCTGTTTGTTCCTTCTATACTGAATATTTTCAGCTGAAAGCATGATTTACACAAGTGCTACTACAACACCTATACACAAGCAATCACTCTCTCAATAATGCATTCAAACAAATGTGATCTTACAGTGCTACTTCATCTGTATCCAATTTCGAATGAGCAGAAATCTGTAAGAAATGCATCGATCCGTAGGTAAAATAACTGACGAAAACGTAGTTATTTTCATCACAAACTAAATTTGCACTGCAAAAAGCATCAATTAAAACTTTTAATGCTGACAACCATGTTATTAGCTTGTCATGTGGTAGGAAAAAAGTTTGAGCACAGTCTGTCACAGGCAATTCTAGTTGCATTTTTCATCAATTAATTTCTTAAATGATCCTTTGACTATGTTCTGGTCCGCTATCTAGTGGCAAATTTTTTTTTTCGAATTTAATCTCCAGTGTTGGAGTTAATTAAAATATATTTTGGAAAACAACAAGAAAGCCACTAGGTGAAAAAAAATAAACGGAGCCAAAACAACCATAGCAAGCTGTCTCCATGAAACAGATAAGCAGGCTAAATTTGTTAAATTTTTCACTCTATTGACATGAAATTTGTGACTTTTCTGCAGGTCGCTTCTCTCAGGTTCTTGTCGGATGCCTGTTTTGGCAAAGATTCAGCATTGCCGCTCCAGAGAAGGGAGTGGGGAGGAAATAAGGAGTGACACGGTCTGTTGAGTTGGCAGCTCTATACATTACAGGGCCAAAAGAACAACTAAACACCTGCTTTCTCTACAGCTCAAAGTAAAACAACAAGAAACAAGTATGAATCCACCAGCTGATTATGGCTGATTTACATTCACTCTATAGATATTTGAAATGACAAAGTGTGGATTTGAAGATTTTTTTTTTGAAGATATATAAAATACTTTCTCTTATCCCAGCAGACACAATCATTAGTAGTCATGATTCACAATCATGAGTCACAATCATGAAGGCAATTCAGTGGAATTTTTTTTTAGCCATTTAAATTTTAGCATACATCCCAGTATGATTTATTATAGTACAAAAAAGGAAAACTATTAAGATTTGAAACATTTTAAATAAAGACAATTGTTTTAGCAAGTTCAAGATTAAGTTTGAGTATGTTTCTCACAAAACTATATTTTCAAAAAAAATTTTTAAGTTAAATTAAAACATTTTAAAAATTGTGTAAATTGTGATTTATTTTCATAATTCACAATTTATATATACAGCACAACAGCAAAAACTGTGAGGAAAAAATAAAGATAATTTTCTATAACTACAAGTCAAGCTGCAATACCAAACCATATAAGATATACAGTGGTGTGAAAAAGTGTTGGCCCCCTTCCTGATTTCTTATTTTTTTGCATGTTTGTCACACTTTAATGTTTCAGATCATCAAACAAATTTAAATATTAGTCAAAGATAACACAAGTAAACACAACATGGAGTCCAAACACTTTTTAACACAGGACCATGTAGTTTTGGATTTTGTTTTCCCTTAATAATAAAAACCTTCATTTAAAAACTGCATGTTGTGTTCACTTGTGTTATCTTTTACTAATATTTAAATTTGTTTGATCTGAAACATTAAAGTGTGACAAACATGCAAAAAAATAAGAAACCAGGAAGGGGGCCAACACTTTTTCACACCACTGTATATAGATATATATATAGATATACCATATAGATAACAACAGACCACTATACTAAACGCCTTAACCTGACTGTATATAAATACATACGGATCCATTCAGAATTAATAAACAGAGCAAAACACAAATTAAAAAAGCTAATAAAAACATTCTGATTTTGTAGAATTTGGTGAAAGCAGCTCAACATGACCAGTGAACAATTCCTCTGTCAGAGTGAGTGTTGATGCCCATATGTACATAAACGCCACTGACCATTGCAAACTCCTATAAGAACACGCTTCTTCAGCGAGTGTCCATTATAAATCACCTGCCAGACATGCAACCATGCTGAAATGTGCTTGTGCAAAGAGCTATTAGAGAGCGCACATACACTATTTGTTTATTTGCAAACTAATAATAACAGACTCATGCGTGTCTAATAATGTACGGCTTCTTATGTCATTGTAACCGTCTTTACCTCCATTACAATTGTCATCCATCAAAACATTACTGGTTGGATACTGGTTTGCTTTATTTAGCCCATACAGACTAGCCCTGACTTCACATATCTTATTAAAAGAGGTATGTTTGTTCCCACCAATCACTGCACAAGTTAAAGGGATAGTTCACCCAAAAATGAAAATTCTGTTATCATTTACTCACCCTCTTGTTGTTCCAAACCTGTATGAGTTGCTTTCTTATGTTGAACATAAAAGAAGATATTTTGAAGATGGCTGGTAATTAAACAGTTGGTGGTTGCCATTGACTTCCATAGTATTTTTTTTCCTACATTTTTGGGTGAACTATCCCTTTAAGGTTATGTATGATGACGAAAGCACGTTAGTGCTAGCCCGTCCGGAGACTGCATTGCAGTCCCTGTAGTTCGGGGGGGAAAAAAATGTGTATGGAAGTCTATGAGAACACTCGGGATGAATCTTAGCCAGAGTGAAATCGCCCAAAAAGGGGTGGTACTGCACAGAACGTGACTTGACACTAATTGAACTATATATCCAGAGACAGAACAAACAGTCTAGAACAGTGAAAGCTAGCGTAACACTGTGGTTGAATGTGATAGAAAAAAATCCCTCCCTTTCACACTCTGGTAGTGCGTCGCCCTATCGCCCTAATGAAGAAACTGCTCCTGAATCCATTCATATTGTAGTATACACCATGAGTTTTTAAAGGGGTAGAAGCCCCTGAAGCCCACAAAGCCTTGAAGATCCAGATCATGTCAACCCACTTGATTCAAGGATTTTCTCGGAGTTGGAAAAGATCATTAAAAAAAAAACAAAAAAAAAAAGGCAGACCAGGAACTCTCTGAGCATGCCCTCATCCATGATGTAATAAGATGGGGATCACCTTTTGAGATGATCTCCAGGTTTCTGGAGCAGGCTGTCTGTGCAGTTTTGGCTAGTGACAGGAGTACATGGCATCTCATGCCAAAAGACAGTGACATTGCCATACTTGAGAATGTCAAGCAGGTCCTTCAACCGCTCAGTGACCTTACTTATGCCCTGGCCTTGAAGAAACGGGTCACACTGTCTTCACTCACACCAGTACTGGAGCACATAGGCAGTGAAATTCTCACTGAGCAAGCTGAAGACAACCAACTCATCAGACAGATGAAGCAAGTAATGAGAGAAGACTTGCTAGAAGTGAGATACACAGAGCGAGTGGAACGAGTGCTACAGGTCTCCAGCTTCAGGGATGCCCGATTTAAGGGAAGCTTCTGTAAAAACCTGGATGACACAGTTGAGGCATGTGTGGAAGAAGCTGTGACTCTTGCAGAAGCAGTTCCTTTATATAGAGAACATCCTCAAGCAGAAAGAGGAGAAAATGAGGCAGGAGAGGGAAGCAGTAGTCCCGCCACCACTAAAAGGAAGCAAAAAGGTCTGTCTGGTTTGCTAAAGCAAATTAATTAATCTAGGCAGAACAAGGCAGCCTCAGAAAATGATAATGTCTGTGATAGGGTGCTGTCTGAAATGAGAATGTATAAGTCTCTTGTTACCATCGCCACTGATGCTGACCCTCTGGCTTGGTGGAAAATGCATGTTGAAGAAATGCCTCTCCTGGCAAATGTGGCCAGGAAGTATCTCTGCATCCCTGCCACAAGTGTGCCTTCGGAGAGGATGTTCAGTACAAGTGGGCACATTCTCTCACCTCAGCGGTCAAGATTGAGTCCTGAAAATCTCAACATGCTTACATTTCTTCATCACAACCTGGACTAAAAAGAAACAAAGAAATACATGCTGCTGAAAAACAATAACAAACATGGTTGTGCAATTTTTGCTCTCCCATTTATGCTGTTTAAAAGGAAGGACAGTTTGGTTTATTTTTGTCTAATCTAAATTTTTTTCAAAAAACCTTGCTGCTTTTTCCCTTCTAATTTAATTTTTATTTTTGAAATGTTCTTTCTTTTAAATGGCCAATGTATTGCTTTCTTTCTAATTGTTTTTTAATTGAGTTATAATATTTTTTCAGAAGGGAGACTTCAATACTTTAATTAAAATGGTTTAATGTTTGTTCTAATAAAGGATTTGTACACTCAAAAAACTTGTTCTTATTCTTTTAAGGGTCATTGTTTAATATATACCATGAAACCGTGATATTTTCTGAGACGATTATCACACCGTGAAAATCTCATACCGTTACAACCCTACACCTTAACACATCTTATAAGTTCTTTGCGAGTTATAAGCTAGTAAAAAATACACAATATGTACATATATACAAGTACATTTAGCACAGAACACAGCTTTGTTTTGGAAGTTGGGCAAGTCTGCAAAAAAGGCATTATAAAAGCTGTCCATTTTGGTTGTCAATGTATCCTTATACCTTTTGTTTTGTATCTTTATGCTTGGTTTTAAAAATGACAGTGTGGATGCGAAGCGAACTGGGACTAAATATATCTAAATGTATCTGACCCATTTTAATTCTACACAGAATATTCTAAAGTGCTATGGAGAAGGTCAAACCTTGCAAAACAGCACTAATGAGTAGAAAAAGATTCAACACTGGTTCCAAAAATTACAAGCTTTTAAAACCACACATCAATATTATCAACATTACTAAAAATGATCATCATTTTACTCTAGTAATTAGTCCTGTCAATCATTTTACAAATGTGCAGGGTTAATTGTTTATTGATTGTCTACTACTAATAATAAAATAATAACAATAGTATAGGCCTATACGCAATTCTAAAACAAACTCCCAACCCACAATGGTGTCTATCTGGTTTAATAATGCACAATTACTTTATTTTTCTCCTAGACTCACAGGCGATTCACATGAGCATGTGGTTTGCAGCTCATTGATTGAATTTCCCAGTGACGATGACTCCATTGGCTAAATAGAGACAGATAGATGGACACAGAGGGGGAGAGAGGAAGAAAGGGATGGACATTAATGATCTTACCAAACAGCAATCAGGAATCAGTGAAGTCACTAACTGAATACTTGTACAATCATTTTTTTAGGCAAAAAAACAATCTAAGCAGGCTTCCAGCAATCAACCAAATCCCTAGGGATGTAATTGATGCGTCAAGGTCTTAGTGTCTAAAGCAGGGGTTCTCAAAGTCTACATTCAAAGGTCCAAATCTGAATTTTCATCAGTGTCAAAGGTCCGGACCGGAACAATTGATTATTACAAAATGTATTTTTAATAAACATACATAACATGCATAACAAATAAAACATTAATTAAAAAAAAAAGAGCCCTTTGCATTCAAAATACATTAATAACAAGTGCAAAAGTGGCGCAACAATTAATTTAAGTGTCAGCAATAGAGGTCGACCGATAAGGGGTTTTCTCTGGCCGATGAGATATTAAGAAATCAGGGCAGCCGATGGCCGATATATGATGCCAATTTTTTTCCCCCTTTATCTCATAAAAGCAAGTTTGACTAAATGATTATTGCAGGGCACAAGATGGTAATAGTAGTAGTAGTAGTAGTAGTAGTAGTAGTAGTAGTAGTAGTAGTAGCCTAATTCATAGTAATAATACATGGCTCAAAGCACCTTCTCAAAACAGTTCTGAAGCATGCTTTTTGTTTATGTTTGTTTCCCAGTGTTTCCCACAGACTTGCAAATGCAAAATCATTCTCTGCCAGGAGGAGACGCTGTTGGAGCGGAGATATAGTAGTTTCCCCGGTAACGGCTGTAATCTAATAAACAAAACTGGGAAAGACGAAATGAAAATGGCATCAAAGCTTTTCTGAAGACGGTCGGTTCTTTTCAATGATACATTCAAATAAAAACACCCACAATGCATTTTAATTTTGAAACGTGCAGTTCTCATTTTATTCAAGGAAGTAGAATCCTTTTGGAAAATCTATTTGTGGCAGTCAGTTTTGATTTTGTGACGGGCCGCCACAAATAACTCAATGTATGGGAAACACTGGACACTGCTATAAGTCAAATGGCCATAATCTAAGCGATAACAAAAATAAATAAATAAAAAATTACTGGTATATTAGCGTGAAATGTCGCCCGATTATGTCAAACGTCAAACACGCACGACGAAATGTCACGAAGGAAAAGTTTCAGTATCTCGCCTTGGCACTCATTTCGGACCATCTCCAAAAAGACATTAAAAAAACTGATTTACAAGTTTAACATGCGTTTATCAAAGTAGGAAATAATTAGTGCTCTTGAAATACGAAATGGAGGTGGGTCCGGACTGAATTCCCTCCGTGTCCGGATCCGGACCGGAGTCCGGACTTTTGAGAAGCACTGGTCTAAAGCATCTAATGAGTATAAGACAGATCTGTGGCAGAGTTTATGCAATGTACATATAGCCTATCGTTTTCAACCACCCTGTTGAAAAAAACAGCATATGCTGGTTAGGTATGTTTTGAAGCTGGGATGCTGGTTTAAGCTGGTCCTTTGCTGGTTTAAGCTGGTCGGACCAGTTTAGGACCAGTACATGGCCAGCTAAGGACCAGCTTAAACCAGCTCAAACCAGCATCAAAACATACCTAACCAGCATATGCTGTTTTTTTCAACAGGGCAGGCTCACTGGAAATACGTGCCTCTAAATACATTTCTGCAAAACCGTTATTACGTACCTTACTGCACGTTTTGAGGCGGTTTCAAAGTGAAATGTCCAGAGAGTGGTGCTAAAACGCGTTCAATACGTGACCATGGCACGTTTTTATTACGTTGGTAATAAAAACCCTAAACCTACTCAATAGTGTTAACAAATGGAAAAGTGATATAAAAACGCTTTTGTTGATGCAGCTGTGCTATTTTAACTTCCTCGTGAGGATTTGAGCTGTTTTGTTGAACCATAGTTTTATATCGGAGCTCTTAATCTCTCAAATGCAACGCCGCCGTATCGCGTGAGCTACCGAGCAAACCTACTGAATTAGAAAACTCATGCATATGAATGAAGCTGTATATGTGAAAACAACATTCAAAAGTATCAGTTTTCAAATCGCGCAGGATGTTAAAATTGTTTTGAAGTCATAACATAAGGAAACTGGAAACTGCAGTGATTCGTACATATAGGTGCATTTTTTCAGTTTTGCAGAAATGTATATAAATACATTTCTATACAGGTATTCTCAAGGGGACTGATTATGTCTCTAAAAGAAAAGATTCTTTAATTCTGTCCTTAATTAATTTTGCAATCGTGTCTCTCTTTAGAATACTTGGTTTATACAGCTTGATTCATAGATCTGTATTACCTTTTTGGAGTTTGAAGATTTTGGTCAAATGGAGACAGTGCATGGACAGAAATCTCTCAGGTTTCATTAAACATTTTAATTTGTGTTTTGAAGATGAAGGAAAGTCTTACTGGTTTGGAATGACATGAAGTTGAGTCATTTACATCAATCTTGGATGAATTATCCAAAATGGTTAATTATGTAATTATTCATTATTAATTACCACATGTTTAGAAAGCCATGTAAAGTGTAAGAATGTAAGTTTAACTTTGAAAAAAACTTATATTGAGACTTTATGGTGGGGTTTTTTTCCCCATCGCACTGCATTTCATGTTCTTAAATGAGAAATGTACTGTGTAATTGGCTTTCCACCCTTTGTATTAAACTATGCATACATACATGATGCTGTTTTGTTTATAGTTGTTTAAGCAACTAAATTAATTATAATTGGTTTATAAACATTATTTTAAACATTATGCACTTTTTTCACAGATAGTCATTTTATCTTATGCTTTGAATAAACATGCATTAGTAATATTTTGCTTGATGTGCCCTCTTGTGGCCTCAGAAGAGAAGCCAAAAGCTTTTCTTAACCCTAAATGAAATTATGCATTGTAAATTCAAATGTAATTCAAATTTTGATAATATTTAAGTACAAAATTCGAATTTAGTTTTTCAGCCATTTTGACAGCCCTAATTCACACAAAGACCAAAATCTTCAATGCTCTACCACACCAAACCACAAACAAAGAAGATGACTTTTCCTAAACACAGAGGAGTGGTCAGCTGTTCAGAAGAGAGACAGTACTTTGTGGTCTTCATTACTCAGCAGTTGTGTCAGCAATGAGAAAAGCTGTTAATTGACATCATTTCCACTTTTAAAATAGCCGTTTGTTTGCTTGTTTTGTTGTTTAATTAAAGATTTAAATCCAAAAGCATCAGTTTTACCAGTTTTACAATAATGAGATACGTGTCACTTATTATTGTAAAACTGGTAAAATAGCAATCATAATGAATTATTTGTCAAGACTGAAAATTAGTCACACAGAAAAAAAAAAGTGTTATTTACCGTTATTTCACAAAAGGAAGAGAACACACTTACTCAGTCACATCCGTTTCTGTTTATTTGTAATCACAGTATACTTCACATTAAGAAATAATGATAATTTCTATAATTTCTCCATCAAAAATATGACCTAGTAGCATAGGGAGCTCCTGAACAAAAACTATGATTATAGGCTATACTGACAGATAAAATATCTAAATAAATACACTTGTTTGCACCGCTTGCCTATAGTTTAGCTCTCTCTGTCAGCGACAAGGGATTCACATGTGATAAATGACAGAGAAGATTTCAGAATTAGAGACACGCATCCAAACTTTAATTGAGGACAGTAAGAATGTGAGGGCTCTAGCTACGGCTTTGGATGCTAGCTCAGGGAGTCCTGTACATTGTTCGGTTCCGGTTACAATGCCTCTGCAGCAGGGCAACTGGGTGAAAGTGAGGAGGCATAGTCGTGGGTCAAAACACTGCTCTTCCATTCCAATCAAGACATCAAACAGGTTCTCCCCACTCAGTGACGCTCCCACTGAGAAACCTGAAAAGTGCTCTAGTTATTGGCGATTCTATTGTATGGAACGTAAAAAATAGAGACACCAGCCACCATAGTCCAATGTTTACCGGGAGCCAGAGCACCTGACATCATGTTCGACTTCACCAGTCAGAGATCACTAAAAATAACATTAAAGAGGTGTGTGAACTTGCAAGTACGATGTCAGACACTGTAATATGCTCTGGTCCCCTCCCTGCTTACCATGGTGATGAGATACATAGCAGACTGTCGTCACTCAATGGCTGGATGTCTAAGTGGTGCCCGGAGAATAACATAGGTTTCATCGACAATTGGACGAGTTTTTGGGGCAGACCTGACCTGTTGAAAAGAGATGATCTTCATCCCTCCTGGGGTGGTGCCGCTCTTCTCTCTAGAAATATGGCACATAGTCTTACTGTGCGTTCACACCGCTGGCGGCGAGAGCGTCAAAATTCGCTCTGGCTGCCCTGTAGACGCTCTACGATCGGTCTTTATTTAAAGGGGCCGCAAACATACCAAACAAGCCTGACCTGTTGAAAAGAGATGGTCTTCATCCCTCCTGGGGTGGTGCCGCTCTTCTCTCTAGAAATATGGCACATAGTCTTAGCGTTTGTACTTGACTAACTGGGGCCCAGGTCAGGAAGCAGACAGACTGGCTAAACTGACCGTCTGCTAGCCGCCTCACGTCATAGAAATCAGTTAATTCTCAGCACAGACTCTTTCACCTAGATATCACACTATAGAGATTGTGTCTGTTCCCCGAACTAGAAAATACAAAAAACCGTCCAAACCAATATAAGAGTAACAATTGAATTGATGTTCAACAAATAAAAAACAGATGTAATCCAGATAAACAAATGATAAAGCTTGGCTTATTGAATATGAGGTCCCTTTCTACGAAAGCACTTTTTGTAAATGATATGATCACTGATCATAAACTAGATGTGCTCTGTTTGACAGAAATCTGACTAAAACCTGATGATTACATTATTTTAAACGAGTTTACCCCCCAAGATTACTGTTATAAACATGAGTCACGTCCAAAAGGTAAAGGGGGAGGTGTTGCTACAATTTATAACAATATTTT